TCTGTCCACCCTTGGCCGTGCAGCTGGCAGGGTCTCCAGTTGTGACAGGAGCTGCTGTTTGTACCACTGGAGTTTGGATGTTGTATGGAGAGAGGACAGAGGGTTATGTCAGAACACTGTGCGCCTCTGGCCCGAGGCTTGTGACACCCTGCCTGTTTCAGACACAGCAGCTTCTTCCGAGCCTGTAGCAGCTCTTGAAAGTGCTGCAGAATTGCAGCCAGATGTCAGAGCAAACTGGTAGCTGGTGGAGTGTCACTGTTCAAACGTCCATATTCTGCTGGAGCTCCTGTGGGTCAGAGTTCCGGGTATTGGCTTCTGCAGTGGAATAAATCCCCCTGCGGCAAACGCCATGTTCAGCGCCGCTGCTCCCAGCGCACAGACGTGCTGGGACACGGCCGCATGAGAGGCTTGGAAGCGTTAGGGCTTGGCTGCTCTCAGGACTTTGGACTGGAGCCAGATGCAGAGCAGGTTTCTTTGTAGCCTGCAGCAGCCGGGTTCATTGCAGGCTCTCGAGGGCGTACGGGCGCAGACAGAGCCGCGCGGTATTTTGCGTCGACAGCGTCGCTCAGTGTTTCTGCACTCGGTTACATCCGCTCATTCCCCTAATCTCTCTTCCCTTCCTTCCCTAGCACACGAGTGTGGAGAGTGAAGCAAGCCTCCATTCTTCTGCTAGCACTTTCTCCACCTCCTCCAGCACAGTGTCAGCCGCCCCGCCAGTCGTAAGCGTTTCATCCAGTCTCAGCAGCGTCAGCAGCCTGGGCCTCAGCCTCAGCAGTAACTCCACGGTGACGGCCTCGACTCGCAGCTCTGTCGCAACAACATCAGGTACTGCTAAACAGGAGAAAGGTGTGGGGCCTAGAAGAGACAGCTTCTGCTGTTTGCTTCACTGTGGGATTTTTCCTTTCTCTTCCTTTTTCAGGAAAAGCCCCTCCCAATCTCCCTCCTGGAGTCCCACCATTGTTGCCTAATCCGTACATCATGGCTCCGGGGTTGCTACACGCCTATCCGGTGAGTGGGACGTCTGGCTCTTTGCAGTCATGTCATGACCACTAGATCCCTCTTCGCTCTGTCTTCAGCTGGTGGGGAGGGAAGTTGTACAGTAGAGAAACCCAAAAACTGGAACATCAGCCCAGCAGGAAGCGGGACTGCCTTGGATGGGAAGAGTTTGGACCTGCTGTTTTCTGTAAAACAGGAGCAGAGGAAATCCATGTGACCGTGGGGGTAAATGTCTCTAATTCCAGTCACCCCAGAGCAAATTCTGTCTCTACAACCTCCTCAACCTTTGGGGAGCAATAGCCCTTGGTCAGAGCACAGCTCATGGAAGTGTGGAGCTGTATTAGCAACATGGTGTGGCAAAGGCCAGTCAGGACAAAGGTGGTGACTGCCACAAAGTCTAGGGGTGTGTCACAGCCCTCTGCTGAATGTGAGGACAGATTTCAGCGTTGGAATAATTTCTAGAGGGAAGTTGTCAAGTGCTTTTGTGGTCTGGAGCAGCAGTTCTGGGTGTTGGTGCTCACTCTTCATTTGAGCAGCTCATAAAACCCTCTTGGCAGCATCAGTCTTGCTGAAGTGAACTCTTGCTGCCTGCGCCTCGGTCGTTGTGTAGCCTCTGATAATCTGCTTCTGGCTTTTATCTCACATTTATCTAAATGTTTAATCTAAAATTAAACATCTGTCTTTATCTAGTCTGTCTCTAACATCATCTCCTGCTCTTTTTCTAGCCACAGGTGTATGGATATGATGACTTGCAAATGCTCCAGACACGATTCCCATTGGTGAGTACTGGAGACAGACATGGACACGCCGCTTCCAGTGCTTTGGGTGTCCAGACTCAGGCTGTGGGGTGGTCCTGCAGAGCTTGCAAAACAGGGTGCTGAATGGGTGCAGCTCTGTAGGGGCAGTGAGGAGTTAATCTGTTGCTCCGTGGCACTTGGGGAGTTTGGAGCTCTGGTTATTCAGACAGTGGCAACAATGGTGCAGCGAGGGAATGTGAGAGCTACAGCAGATAGAGCTGGTTTGCCCAACAGTTGTGTGATGAGCTGTTGTAGATACCTCTGACCCTTGAAAGAGGCAGCAACTACATACTTCTATGAGAATGGGTTTTATTTAGCAATGTGACATGTGTCTCTTGTGTTATGAAGTGGAGGGGAAAGTCCAGGCAGTGCCAGGACTGCATACCAGTAGACCTTATCTGGTTCTTCCAATAGCCAGACGAGGGGGATGGTGCATGCTACAGAAACCTGGGGTTGCTGTAGGCTGTGATCAGCCCCTACGTGGCTGATTGAGCTGCAATACTCCAACAGATCTCGCAGCTGCAGCCCAGAAATTCCTCTTTTCCTAAAGATACTGCTTTGCATCTTGGGACAGAGCTCATAAAACTTCTCCTTTTGTTTTTATCCTCCAGGATTACTACAGCATCCCATTTCCTACACCCACCACCCCGCTGACTGGAAGAGATGGCAGCCTGAGCAGCAATCCATATTCTGGTAGGAAAAACAAACCTGCTCTGATTGCACATCCCATCAGGTGTTGGTGCTGCTGCTCACTAGTTTCTAGTGCCATTGTCTGCTGGAGCTACCCCTGTGCCAGCCTCCTGCTCTGCCTTTGGTTTGGAGCTTGTTTCTCAGCAACTAAATTCTTGGCTTCCCTTTGAGCACCTGGTCGTGTCGAGGCGTGTTAGTAGGAAGATGTGGACAAGTAGGAGTCGATGTGGCAGTTGGAAAGGGAGTGAGGAAGGGCTGAAAGAATCTGTGAGGTATAAAAGTGGGGAATTGCTTTTCAGTTCGGGGTGAGCCAGGGGTTAAGCAGTTCTTCATGAGCATTTAAAGGAAAAATACAAAGAAACACAAAATGTGGAAGAAAATAAGGTTTTGATATATGCAGCAGTCTCATGGAGAAAGAAAACGGGGCATTTAGGACCCGTCCCATTGGAATCCAATGCCCAGTGGGTGGCTGATCTCTCACTGACCGTGGCAGGTGGGGTTTGTCCCGCGGATTCGCAGCAGTTGTGCTGAGCTTTCACGTGCTTTAGGAGTTGTTGGGCTTTGTGGATCACACTTTTTCCAACACCACTTCTCCCTGGCTTCAGCAAGAGCTTGTTTGTGCAGCAGTGCTTTTGCCCAGCACGAAATCCCAAGCTCAGAGTGCAGCACCGCTGCGTCTCTCATTTGCCCAGTTAACATCAGTGATAATTAATGTTTGTGGCTATCCTGGACTCCCTTATGAGCGGGGGTAGCATTGAGAAATTCACTGGTTTACTGTGTGAGCTCTGAATGGGGAGAGTGTTTGCATGGAAGAGCCAAGCAGGTGCTCAGAATGAGCAGCAAAGGCAGCTTCCCCGAGCCCTGCAGCCAAGCCCAGGCTGGGAAGAGAGGAAGTGATGTTTCCAAGTGCTCCCTGCGGGTTGCTGGGGCTCTGCAGCAGCGTTTGATTTGGTTCCAGCAAGAGACAGGGAGGTGTGAGCCCTGCTGTTAAAAAAAAAAAAAGGGCCATTCACACATCTTCAACTGGAGGAGATTTGACTGTCCTCTTCAATGAGGAGCTGTTTGGTGGTAGGACAGGACCCCCAGGCTGCTGCCCTGGCCTCGGCTCTGGCTCTGGAGGGAAATGAGTTGTATTCAGGGCTGCTGCTGATGCAGGGAGAGCTCTGGAGAGAGCTTAGGGGAGCATCTGGGATCTGCTGCTGCACAGGCAGCCGGCGGCAGGTTTATCCGGTGCAGGATCGGAGGCTGACATCCGGCACTGCAACTCTGTAGCTTGGCTGCCCTGGGTTTCCCTTCCCCTCTGAAATCCTCTCTCCAGGATAAGGAGAGCAATTAACAGCTTAGCCTTATCAGCATGCAGGGCTCGGGGGCTCCAGCCCTGGTAGCTGTAGGAAAGGGATTGATTTAAGTCTCCCTTGATCAAAAGGCCGCGTTGATCAAAAGGCTGCGTCAGCTTTGACACATCTGTTAATCCCAGACTGGTTTGGGTTGGGAGGGACCTTAAAGCTCATCCAGTTCCAACCCCCCTGCCAGCAGCAGGGACACCTTCCACTAGACCAGGTTGCTCAAAGCCTCATCCAACCTGGCCTTGAACACTTCCAGGGAGGAGCAGCCACAGCTTCTCTGGCCAACCTGTTCCAGTGTCTGACCACCCTCACAGTGAAGAACTTCTTCCTAATATCTACTCTAAACCTCCCCTCTTTCAGCTTAAACCCATTTCCCCTTGTTTTGTCATTAGTTGCCCTTATGAAAAGTCCCTCCCCAGCTTTCTTGTAGCCCCTTCAGGTACTGGGAGGCCACTAGAAGGTCTCCCTGGAGCCTTCGCTTCTCCAGGCTGAACAGCCCCAACTCTCTCAGCCTGTCCTCACAGCAGAGCTGCTCCAGCCCTCGGATCATCAATCTGTTCTTCAATCTCCTTTCATCTCCTCTATTCCAGGTGAATTAACAAAATTTGGCCGTGGTGATGCCTCTTCCCCTGCTCCTGCAACAACTTTGGCCCAGCCTCAGCAGAGCCAGACCCAGACTCACCACACCACGCAGCAGACGTTCCTGAACCCAGCGCTGCCTCCTGGCTACAGTTACACCAGTCTGCCGTACTACACAGGGGTACCAGGGCTCCCCAGCACCTTCCAATACGGGCCCGCCGTGTTCCCTGTGAGTTTCCCAGAGGCAGAGCGTGGGATGTGGGCAGAAGGGCAACATAGTGAAGCTTCTTCTCACTCTCCATCTCTCCTTTCAGGTTGCTCCTACCTCTTCCAAGCAGCACGGTGTGAATGTCAGCGTCAACGCATCAGCAACCCCTTTTCAACAGCCCAGTGGCTACGGCTCTCATGGATACAGCACTGGTGAGAGACCTTCCTTAGGGAAGGAAAAACATATTTACAAAATTCTCTGGCAGACCACGTGCTATCTTGAGGTCCTCTGTCTCACTCAAAATACTTTCATGTGCAGAAATAGTCTACTTGGATAATCATGTTCACAGTCTGTGTGAAGGGAACTGCTGTCGTACTGCCTCCAGCAGTAAGGGAGGAAAATGGCCATGATGCAGCTCACAGGTCGTTTGATTCTCCTTGGAAAGGTCCAAGTCTGTGCTGCATCCAGGTCTGGAGTGGGTTTGAGGAGCACAAAGTACTTTGTGCCCAGCAGGCAGATGGCTGGGACCTGGGGCTCATGTCAGAGCTTAAGCTGCTGAATTGTTTGGCTTTTGTTTTTTGGGTTTGTTTTTTTTTTACTGCCTCTATGTGATCAATAGAGCAATAATTATTCCAGATTTGAGCCTGGGAACTTGTTTGACTCCTGTGTTTGCCAGGTACATGTTTCTAGTACCTGAAGGGGCTCCAGGAAGGCTGGGGAGGGACTTTGGCCAAGGGTAGGGAGTGAGAGAACAAGGGGTGATGGCTTGAAAGTGGCAGAGGGGAGATGGAGATGAGATGTGAGGAAGAAATTCTTTGGTGTGAGGGTGGTCAGACAGTGTCCCAGGTTGGCCAGAGAAGCTGTGGCTGCTCCTCCCTGGAAGTGTTTAAGGCCAGGCTGGATGAGGCTTTGAGCAACCTGGTCTAGTGGAAGGTGTCCCTGCTGCTGGCAGGGGGGTTGGGACTGGATGAACTTTAAGGTCCCTTCCAACCCAAACCAGTCTGGGATTCTAGAGAAATGTCCTTGATTCAAAGGTGCAAGAAGGTTGTGAACCCGCCACTTGTCTCGTTACTGGGTTTCACTGGTTAGTATCTGGCTGACTTACAAAGGGCCTGTGTTTAGGTTCCTCTTCTGGCCTTTAAACTCCTGTTGTGCCCTTCAAGACACTATTTTCTCTTTGTGAAGATACTTCAGCTCTTTACCAGGTCACCTGGTGCTGATTGTTTCAAACCTCTTTCATTTCAACACTTTTTCAGGGCCTTAAATGATTGCTGAGGCTTTCCTCTCTACCACCACCCTTTAGAAACAGCCAGCATCAAATGTGGGTTGCGTGCCAGTGTTCCCAGTGTTCCCAGTTGTTGCACCAGCCGTCCCAGCCCACAGTTGAGTCGTCTTTACATGCAATTGCCTGTTTTACATCCAAGAAGCTCTTGGGCTGTTCTTGCTCCCATGTCATGCTGGGAGTTTGTTTCTTTGCCTGCTGCATCCACCCAGCTCTTCTCAGAATTACTGTTTTCTGGGCTCTTCAGGAATGTGCATTTCTCCGGGTGGCAGCAGGCTACTCAATATTCTTCTGGAGGCGTTCAGCAGCTGCTTGTGTCCAGAGCAGAAGAACTTACACTCACGTGGACACTTGGCAGCTTGACCCTGCTATGTAGGATGATGTTGGTCTCCAAACCTCACCTGGCTGCCAGGCCACCAGAGCTCTCCAGCACCTGATGGAG